CTACTAGTAGCGTCCTTGTGCCTAGTAGCGATGCCCCTTGTTCCTAGTAGCTTCTTGTTCCTAGATGTTCCTAGTAGTAATGCCAGGAGCTACTAGCAGCATCCAACGGCACCTCGCCTCCAATCCCAGCTTCAAGAGTTGAGCTTCTTTGGAGCTTCGCATCTGCTGAATCTCTTCCACTGGAATCGCCCGCTCCTCACGGGAAGCTCAAATGGGCTCGAAGAAGCCCAAAGCGTGACCATCACATAAAGGAACAAGTGACAAAAGGGTATGAGTATGTATTTATGTAAACATTTATAAGTTATGAGGGTGCTCATAAACACGGATTTCTTGGAATGCAATCCAGGATGTAGTGGTAGTTTGATTCCAAAATGGCCACTGCTTTCAGAAGAAAACACGAGCTAGCTATGCTAGTTGTCCAGACCCCTCGTAGCCACCCTGGTCCTGCTGACCCTCCCAACGCAAGCGGAAGGTCGTACGGTCCCTGGTGATAGCACAATCCACGTCAAGCAAACCCTCAGGCGAGAGGATGTAGTAGTCCCTGGCAATGATGGAATCCATAAAAAGCATGGGATGAATGGATGATCCTGCTTCTACATCTACATCCAACCTTGTCAAACTTCTAAGGACAAACCTTTGACAAGGATCTGCAAGGGAATGCTCACACTTCCCTAGACTTCTAACCTTTCTTCAAAAAGCGAACGGTAAGTGTCCCGCTCGCACTTGCTGATTGCCGTCTTCCGCTGATGGCTGTGGTCTGTCTCCCCTAGCTAGCCTGCCCCGGTACATGGTCTCCAAAAACATCCTCAGCTGGCAAGATGCGGTGCCTGTGGATTCATCCCATGAGCACACTAAGCAATGCAAAAAACGTTGCCTATTCCACCACACCCAGGACCAGGATTCCTGTGAAGTGGAGGTTGTGAACAGGGATCCCAAAAATTCAGCTAGTGATGGCTAATCTTGACTAGGCCTGGGTTGGAAAACAACTCAATCATATCTATATGCGATTAGAATATATATACAACTGCACACACACATATATACACAAAAAACAACTACAATGGTGAGCAAGAAAGCCAATGCGGGGTGCAACCGGTAGAGCCAAGTGGCTTGTACATCTTTTTCACCTGGCGACACCAAATGCAAACACCAGGACGACCAATGAAAGCTTCAGGACAACTACGGAGCTGAAAATCCTTTATTAATTGAGGCAACTGGCAACTGGAATCCCAAGAACGTCCACGCCAGGCAAATCTTGATGGGTTCCAGTAAGCAAAACTCTGTAGCATGTTGTTAGGACAACTATTTAGATCATTCTAGACCATAGTACCAACATTAGGACCATCGCAGGCGTACATAGCAATCTTCCAACGAGGTGGTTGAGGCACTCTGCCCTACAGTTCGGCTCACACCTTCCCCTGCGAGCAAAGTGGCAAAGTAACGACACCCATTGTAATTCTATCATGTTCTATTGCCTGTTCAAGGACCAACCTACTGGCATTTAGAAATCACGAGGCATTAGAAATCACGAGGCATGGGCAGTCCCAAACAACCAAATCCACCTTGCACATCCCTTCGCACCTGATACAATGAATGGGGTCCCACCATGTTCGACCCCCTGGGAGAAAAGAACAAAACAATACTGAAATCCACGGACCTCCTTGGGATCCTCCTCCGCGATGTTCTTCCGCAGCACCACGCTCTGCACGCTCGTGGCCTCACTCCGGGCGCTCTTTGCCTCGCTGGCCTCGCTCCGGGCGTCATCGTCCTCGTGGGTCGCGCGCGCAGAGTGTGGGTGAAGCTGGAAACCATGAGCGGGCTGGAGAAGTGTTTTGTGTATCATTTTGAACTTGTTGAGTTGGATGTGCATGAATGCCACCATCAATGATTGGGATGTTGAATTGTGGCCTGTGGGAAGCACACTGACCGGGTTCAATGCTCAATCAATCACAGCTCCTTCCACATGCATGATCCTGCATGTGTTCCAAAAAGGAATCATCTAGGACAAAGACTTTGCTTATCTTTTGTTTCTGGATTTTTTGGACTAGGGAACATCATTTAATTACCCTTTTCAAAGAACGCTATTTTCCACCCACATGCTCCACCCATCGACTCTCTTGACCCTTTTTCAGTGTTCTGCACTCCTTGGGCTTCACGTCCTTCACCCGCGCATGCTGCCGCCGCATGGACACCAACAGCCGCAGGAAGAGCGCGAAGGTCTCGGCCGTTTCAGCCGAAGTCAAACGCAAACTCAGCAAGTCTCCAGCACCTGCACGAGCGTCACAACGAACGATTCTTTCCAAGAATCGAAAAAGCAGTGGTTGACTGTTGGTGCATGCTGTCGGGCTGTGGCCCCCCTCCTGCCCTCCTGTGGTACACTCCTGCTGACCATGAGGCACTAGAAACTGGCTTCCATGCAACTGTTGGTCCTGGACTATGGCCACAAAGTAAATATGCTAGCACAGCTAGAAAAACACATGCAACTTGTAGATTGTAGATAGTCGATCTTTGATGAGCCACTCTTCTCGAGCTCCAGGACGATCCAGTTGGGAGTCAGTTCGAAGTTCAAGGACAAAGGAAGAGCTTCCATGCCACGATGAAGATGTGCAATCTCCACCAACTGAACCTGAGTTTTGCTGCTTCATGTCAGCTCCAGAACCATGACCGAATGATTGACTTGACCTCTTCCAGGTTGTGATCTTTGGAGTGTGACACTGGAAAACCGCCTAGGTGCCAACCTAGTTTTCGTTCACCCTATGACTAACAAGAAGCTACTAGTAGCTCCTGGCCTTACTACTAGGAGCAAGGACGCTACTAGGGCTCCTGGCATCGTTACTAGTAACGAGAAGCTACTAAAGCTATCTCCTTGTACACTTTTTCTCTCTTTTTCCCATGAGTTTGCCTAGAAGCCGCTTGGGGTCCTACGACCAGTGCATCCACCTTCTTGGAGAGCTTGCAAATCTGTGGGGTGAGCGTCCCATTGGCATCCGGCACGTCCACTTCTCGTCCACGTACCATCTCCTGTTGGGGAAGTTGGGGAGGCGCCGAGATGCAAAGAACTGTACAAAAAACTCCGAATGTTGCTTCAACTCTCTGATTGAATTGTGATTGCCAAGTGCATCTACACACTAGCCTTGAAAGATTCAGCACAGCATTGCAAAAAAAAGGAACCAAATGAACCGCGCAGCGTGGTGTGGCACTCCATGCAAGTTGTGAGAATGTTCAACAGGGCTCTTCGCATTTGCAGGTTGGCACCGACTTAAATTACTTAAAAAAACGAAAAACAAACAAGCCACGGTGCGATGTTGGAACCCCAACCAGCCCTGTGGATGAAAGAAGGTCCAAACAAAGCTCCTGGACAAAGCCTTTTAACGAGGCCTTTAGCTGTGAGGGCTCTGGCTGGGATCCAGGCACCGTCGCGAAACCTTCACGGCCAGACGGGGAAGAAGCGCCCACGGCGGTACGGTGCTCTTCGAGGACACCTGATGCCGCGAATGGAAAACAAACACAAAGAAAACGGATCACTTCTTGTAGTATTTATATATATATATATACGAAATTATATATATATATATATTGAGCGTATAGCATCTGGAATCCGCTTGAATGATAGAACTTCTGCATCTGGAGGGAAGCTGTCTCATGGGCATAGCCAAAAGAAGGATCTGGCAAAGACACCTTCCTGATTGGGCCCCCTGAAAGACCGAGCCACAAGTCTGAACTGAAAAGGCGCTGCGCGCCGACAGCGGCTCCGCCTCGCTGCGTGCGCTTTTCGCATCCTCTGCCTGCTTCACACGGCCCACAAGCTCACGAAACCGGCCCGACAGCGCGGGCGCAGGAGCCGGAGTCACTGGAGCCAGCTGTGAGCGTGTGGAGGCACAGCTGGCGCTGCTGCAGCTGCTTTGGCTGCGGCTGCTGAGCTGAGAAGTCTCTGAGGAACTGGTAAGGTGTGGCTGGTGCGAAAGAACCTCTTTTGAGGCCTTCTCCAGGCTGGAGCAGGGGCAACAGCCTGCCGGCTGCACCGGTCGGGAGCTCCGGCTGGAGTCGAGGGAACGCGCGCTGGAGTCCAGAGTCGGGCGTGCCTCGGTGTTACCCATGCGTGCTGCATGGCTTGGCAGAGCGGCAAGTAGTACTAATTATATTATATTATAGTCTTTTAATATATGTACAGTCGACATTGATTGATGTGCTGCGACGAAGCTGTGGCTAGGCATGGAAGCTGTTTGCAAGATGTTGTAAGATGTTGTAAGCTAAGTGGTTGTGTGTCAGGCACTGTCTGGGGATTGGAGTATCAGTTGGAGAGCTTGAGAAGCTGGCGTTAGGCCTACTCTCAAGTTACGCCCAGGATAAAACGATGCTGCAACCTGTGGTGCAGGACAAGCCCTTCTCGAGCCCAAATCAGCACTGAAAGCCCCGCTCCACAGTGGGAGAGCCCAAAGTACCGACCGTCGACGAGGTTCCTTTTCCGCCCCAAAATCCTTGGGCTGCAAAACGACTGGGTGAAACTCGCAGGTGCGGAGGAGCAGGAATGGCTGCCACCAGCCGCTGGCAAAGAGAGACGGCAGGTTTCCAATGTTCGCATGGCAAAGTTCAAACAAACCAATCAACTGCGGGAAAGGGATATGCGGGCCACAATCAGTAGGAAACGAAGCTACAGGATGCTTTTAAAAGAATGCTAAAAGGATCTAAAGGGCAAGTTTGTGCAGCGTTTCTTGCACCAGCTTGGCCAAATTGGCCATCCAAACCGCTCCAACTCTGCTCCACCGGTCACTGCAGACTGCAGCTACCTCCCTGCGAGCAAGTGCGGCAAGGCTTAGTCACTCGCAGGTCGAGGAAGCACCGGGTGGCACCATATGTGGTGATGATGTCCTGCGCAGGACAGGTGGCTGATGGTGGCTGAAAGGTGGCTGAAAGGACCCATTCCTGCTGTTGATCCGGCAGTGCCAACAAATAATGAGTGATCCTCAATGACCCTCCTGGGCTCACTGACAGGACGAAACGTCTGCGGAGAGGCACTATGTACTATGTACCATATTTAATGTGTCTCCCTAAGAGGTTGAAGCTAGGAATTGACTATTCCGATCATCGAAGCCCTGTATGAGTTTGGTGCGTCAGTAGCCAATGGGTGAGCAAGGAAAGGAACGAACTCGGAGAGTGTACTGAGCAAGCCTCTAATCCACCAAGCCCCGTACTCCGCCTGAATCGTCCGTGGCGGAATCCCCAATGATCCCACGCCTGGTGTGTTGGCCGCCCGACGCAGTGGAAGAAACTGAATGGGAGCAAGTCACAAGCTACTACGGGTACACATACAGCAACTCCCACTTCTATGCTCAGGGGCCAACTGTACTTAATCACATGTGATTCAGAATTCAAGCCTTGTTCCCAGTTATGGTCCTAGACTTCAGCTACAATTAGCCTGATACACTGAGACCTGTCTCAGCAGATTGCCCCACACGGCAGCAGCAACCACATGCTCATCAAAGCGAAAGGTGCTGGGCACTGAAGCTGCTTCAGCACCAATGGACTTAGCTCCCACGGCAATTAGTCTGCAACCAACAGTGGGCTCGAAAGAATCCATTATGCTAATTCTATAAATGTCCCTCACTGTCTGGATCACCATACAACCGGTGGCTGGCAGATTGTGGGGGGTCTGACATGATCTCACCTATCGTCTTTCATCTTTATTGCAGACTGGTGCCCAGCACATGCAGCTAAACTCACCCTTTTGACCCAAATCCTGCACCATCATCGGCGAATCGGCATCACTAGGTAGAACTGGCGTCCTTTAGGTCCCGGTTTCGTGATGTTTCATGATAAAACCTGTGCCTGAGAAGATCGTCAAGGACGAGCCGGGCACCGCATCCAAGAGCTTCAGGAGATTCCTCCAAGCGCGTCGGCGTAATCATTTTCGAAACATCCGGTGGTTCATGGGAAGTGCAAACCAGGTGGACGACCTCAAGTGGTGTGGGACTTTTCCAGCTTAAGCTTCAAGCCCACAGTCGAGTCTAGTTGGTCGCATTGCTAGCAATGTGTGGGCATCACGGCATGTTGAAAAAGGTGAACGTGTTGAAAAACCAGGTTTGCTTCTTCTTGAGAGGAACAAACGCACTCTGACACTTGTATTCAGTGAACTCAGTTCCCACGCTGGGAAGG